TTCACGCGGGCGATCCTGTTGTGGCTGAGGAACCTGCTCCGGGAAAGGGCCCCCCGGTTTCAGGCACAGGGTTGATCCCGCTGCCTTCCCGAAGCTCCTCCCTGCTCCTCCTTGCCTGGGCCTGCTCCTCATGGCTCATGTGCTGTGTGGCCGGGCTAGGAAGCCCGAACCAGGCTGCAATGCGGGGAAGGGGCCCGACCACCGGCTTCAGGGTGCTCATCCCCACACACAGCCCTTGCCAAGCGAGGGGAAGCGGAGGAAGAAGGAGCAAGGGCACCCGGTGGAGCGGAGCACACGGCCACCTCAACACCTCCACTTACAGCGTCTTGAGCTGGGAAAGGCCAGTGAAGGCCCTGGCCGAGAGCGAGCGGATCTGGTTGTTCTGTAAGAACCTGGGGTGAAAAAGCGCAGGGAGCAAAGGGAGAGGAGGGCGGTTTGTGCAGGGCGCTGCGTCCAGGAAAGCGGCCGCTGTGGGTGCCATGTCGCGGATGACGTGACGTGCTGTGTCGCGAGTACCACGTCACGGGTGCCGCATCGCAGGTGCCGTGTTGTGGCCGGCACTCACAGCTTCTGCAGGCTCCTGTACGTGGCAAACTGGTGATCCATCAGGGAATGGATCCTATTCTCCTTCAGGTCCCTACGGGAGGAAAGAGGGAGATAAGGAATTCGGGGGGGGCAGAGCGGGATGTGGTGTGAGCAGCTCCGGGTCCTTCAGCTGGGAAGGAGCACAGAGCTGCCAGCCCCGTGGTGAGTCCCCGCAATGCCACTGCTGCAGCGTGTATGGCCAACGCTCCCGTCCTGCTGCAGGGGTGGCCTTGCCCCATCCCAGCAAATCCATCTCCAGGAGCGCCCCAGGCCCAGTGCCAACCTGGGCTGAGCGCCTCCCGCTCCTGGGGAGGACAGGGCACATTTGCCCGTTGCCCGGAGGCTACTCACATCTGGGTGGCATTGGGGGAGGCTGCTGGGACCGCACGGAGGCCCTGGCCCGTGCAGTCCACGGCACTGCCCCGGCAGCGACAGCGCTCCGGGACGCGCTCCAGCCCTGCAGGGACGGGGTTAGGACGCGCTGGGCTCCGGCATCGGCGGCGCTCGGCAGTGGCGTCCAGCAGGGATGTGATGGCACGGGGGAGACGGGGCTTACGGCAGGCGTGTGGCTCCGTGCGCACTGGGGCTCTGCTGCTGCGCGTGGCCAGCATGTCCCCCAGGATGTGCAGCCAGCCACTGGCGTCCACTGTGCACGGCAAGAGCCGCGGTGAGAGGCGGCACCTTGGCCCCGTGCGCCCATCGCGCGTTCTGAGCAACCATCGCGCGTTCTGAGCACCCATCATGTGCTTCATGCGCCCATCGTATGCTCCATGCACCCATCGTGTGCTTCATGCACCCATTGTGTGCTCCATGCATCCATCGCGTGCTTCACGCTGGCCCTTTGTCCCCACCTGCCCCTTCACCACCCCACCAAGGCAGAGCAAGGCTCCAACGGGGGTCCCCAGCGCTGCCAGGATGCTGCTCTCCCTCTGCTCCCACCCCCAGCACCCAAACTGCTGCTCTGCAGGGGTACCCAGCTCATCCCAGCCCTTTCCAACCCATTCTAGCTCCTGGCCCCACAGGAAGGGCTGCTCTCTCCCCGCCCCGGCCGCACCGCCGCTCACCACAGTTGTCCTCGTCGGCGCCGTTGTCGCAGTCCCGCACCCCATTGCAGTGCAGGGCCTGGGGCAGGCAGACGGGGAGGTCGCCGCAGGGGAAGTGCCCCAGGGGACACGGGCGCCCGCCCGGACGTGGCAATGGCTCTGCGGAGGGAACTGCCACATGCTCAGTGCCCCCAAACCTGTGCTCAGTGTCCCCGTGTCCCGCACACCCTGCTCAGCGCCCCACGTCCCCCGCCTCGATCTCACTGCAGACAGGCAGCCCCCCGCCCGTCTCTGCAG